CCTTTCCTCTAATGATTCAATAAGATTGGTCGTTGAGGAAGATGGAACAGAGGTTGAATGTTCATTTGAAATTATGCAAGCAATAGGAAGTAGTTTAATTTACACTCTTCTGGTGAATGGTGAGATATGGACTAGGCGACTGCCACAAGTAGATTCTTTCAAATTAAACAATACAATTTATAAACATGCTGAGTAAAAAAATTACGTTATATTCCTGATGTGTAATGGTTTATGTCATTTTTTTTATTTAGCAATATACTCCTGCTTCAGTTCAAGAAGCAGTTTCTTCAAGATCAATTGACATTGGGTGTTCAACTTCAAGTTCAATTGGTATTGGGTCTTCTGAATCTGATAATGTGAATCCTTTTATTAGTATGCAGACCTTCAAACAATACCTTTTAAAACATCCAGTAAATCTTTCTTACGTATTTGTAACAAGATGTTATGTTCATAACAATGTTTTAATTTAAAGATATCTAAATAACTCATGTGTTGAGTTAACTTGAATTTGTCAAGTGTAGAGTTAGCTACAAATTTTTAATTTGAATTTTTTTTTTAACAGTATTTTAATTAATTTAGTTTGACTATTAATTAAGTTGTTGAATAGTACATTGATATTGTATAATTATTAGGTCACAACAGAATATGTCAAATTGATTTTAGCAACAGGAGTATTTACTATTTTGGTTCGTCAGGCAATTATCCGGCTGGTTGTCCGTAAAATGATTAATGTTTTTGGAAATTATCCTACACGTAGACAAAAAGAAGATGTAGCTAGTTTGCTAGGCCAACTATTTAGTATGGAGGCAAATATTTTCTTTGATCCATCTACATATTCAGGATTTTTGCAGCGGGGTACAGAAAATGCTAGAAGAGATTGGGATGGTAAGTATACTTGTTGAATATTTTTGTTATAAAGTTAGCATTGCAAATGATTCCATTAATTTTTTTTTCTTAATAAATTTTTAGACAAGCGTAAGGTTTATGACTGGAAAAAGAGACCCCTAAATTGTGATAAAGCTACCAAATACAAAAAAACAGAACTAAAGTCATTAAGTAAAAACATTTTATGTTTTTTGCTTCAGTTGTTCTTTTATGTTCTAAGAATTTTTATCATAAAAATATCTTTTAATTTAACACTGTTTACTTATTCTGTTCAATTGTTTAGCTTTTGATGAAATTAACGAACCCTGTGCATCCTCCCAAACAGCTGCTTCATCTGATGGGTACCCCAGAAAAATAACTGATTGTGTTGTTTATAGGGGTAATTATTTTTGTTGCGACAGAGAGTTTATGATTTAAATTCAAGATTTTTTTATTAATATACAAAAAAATTTAGAATCTGTTGTTAAATTAGCGCCAATTTTTTTTCAATCCACAGTCTGTTACTATCAGAACAGATTGCTTGTACAGGTTTTATACATTTTCTATTGCACATTCAAGATAAAGAATTAATTTGTATAAAAAGTATATATATTTTTTAAATGTTTAACTCTTGTAGGTAAAGGTAATGATAATATAAGTGATATAGAAAAGCTTGCATTTTTATTAAGTACTCGTACCCATGAAGTTAAGGAGTGCCAAGAAAAAACCTTTTGCATTAGACAATTTTGGATTATGAATGAATCGCCCACCTTGTCTGCTATATTAAAAATGTATCCAAAATTTTAGACAATTCCAGAACTAGTAGTATTCTAAATATATTTTCTAAAACTTGTAAGTTTTACATTTTTGAAAAACCATTGAAATTTACAAAAAATACATGTATTAAAAAAAACACACATGTTTTTATAAATATTTTTTTAATGTTTCCATTAAATTTAACATTTTATAAAGTATGACATAATAATGTGCAATATATATTTTTTATATTACAGTTAGATGTTGCGCTTCAAGTTATGTTTTCTGACTGCACTACAAATTTTTTATCAGTATTTCGGACAGAAATTTTAATCCCAGCATTGGAACTAACAGGAAATAAATCTATAGAACTGATAGCAACGGATGCCAAAAGAGGGGATAATGGTGAGTTTAATTCACTTAATTTTTTTTTTTAGATTTTGTATTTTAGAATTTTTTGAGTGAACAGCAAAAAAAATATACTGCAGCACAAAATAAAAATATAAAATAGTTATTATAGCAAATAATTTTACTTCAAGTCACCCTATGATTATTTTTTGTATTTCAGCCTGGAAGTTCCATGACAGAAGCTGCAGAAAACTGTTGGAAACCAAACCCATTGCTTCTGATACGAGGTAGCATCAATCAAAAAGTTCTATTGGTAAAAATAGCTGCTGAAAAATCCCTAATTGGATCATCAATTGAAGAGGGAATTGAGCGATTGTTTAAACTCTTTTGGTGTTTCAACTTAGAGTTTACCAAAGAATGTGCGTTTTTTTTGTAATTTTTGCAATTAATTTACAATTTGGGAGAAAAACAGCCATTTCAATAAATTAAAGTTTATCAGCTTTAAGCGATGTTGAAGATAAGAAATAGACACTATTTTTAGTATTTTTTCTAAATTTTATATATGTAGCTTTTTTTTTTAAATTATAAATGGTATTATGAATAAATTTATATTTGACTAAACATTTTATTGCTGATTCTAACATAATAAAAGAATTTTTTATGTGAAATTCATTTAGTTATATTATAATCATCGCATTAAATTATATATAATCAAATAAATATTTTAAAAAATTGAGGAAGTTACATATACAATACAACTAACATTAGAAACATTTTCTAATGTTAATAACTTTTTTTAATAAAAAAATTATTAAGTTGCTAACATACGAAAAAATAGTTGCAAAAAAGACATTACTTTAGCGAAAAATTGAAACGTGAGAAAGCGGAACTTTTTAACAGACTTGTCTGCAAACTTTACGTAATATTCCGTTAAAAAAATTTAACGTACTCCGTTAAATATTGAGTCTGTAAATTTTACGGAATATTGAGTCTGTAAATTTTACGGACAACTCACTCAGCTATAAAATAACGGACTATTCCATTAAAGATTCCACTAATTTAACGGACTCGTTTTTAGAGTATAAGCTGTTCAATTTTAATGTTAGAAATTTTCTTGTGCTGGTTGTAATGTCAGTTATATTGGATAAAACTCCAGATATTTACAAGTGACAAACAATGTCATCTTTATAAACACTTAAATTCATCAACTGTAAAAACCCAACTAATTACAACTATTTTTAAATTTTAGGAACCGCACTACTGAAAGCAAACAAAAAAATTTAAAAAATGCTCCATATTTAATGGGCAAAATTCTTCTTTAAATCAAAAATCTAATTATATTATAAACTTATCTAGTTTACTTTATTATTATTATTATTATACAAATGTGAACATTTTGCGTAGGAAACGTATATATATATATATATATATATATATATATATATATATATATATATATATATATATATATATATATATATATATATATATATATATATATATTTAAAATATATATATATTTATATAAACAATATATGTAGGCCTGACGCTAGACATTCCGAAGCTGGGTAAAAAAAACATTTTAGTGTCTTATTAAAATAAATTTTAAAACTTGTTATGAACTTTAATACAATTTTTTTTAAAAAAAGGCTTTAGGTTTTTTTATATTAAAAACAGTAATTTTGAAAAACGATACTTCTAAACAATGCCAATAATTGGTTAGCAAAAGAATGCACATGCATAGTTTATTCTTAATTAAAATATTTTTAAAACTGTACACTAATATACACTAAATAAATTTAAGAAAAATTAAAAAAAGTTTTTTTGGAATTATTAAAGTTTTTATTGTAAATTAATATATACTTATTCTTACATAAAACATGTATATCAGTTTTTTTATAATTATTCTTTTAAATTTATATATTTTTAAATTCTCAGGAAAACAAGTATTTAATGAAAACCTGGCGCTTTTGAAACCTTGGCGCCTGGTTTAATTTTTTTTCAACTTTATTTAAGAAAAAAAAATTAATTTTTAATAATGGAAAAAGTTTAAAAACTTTAAAAAAGAGTTTATATTGATAGATTGCTTGCCCAAACCAAAACTCTTGATCAATAGCAGCACTTGCATGTTCCAGTTATTTGTCAGTTGATGTATTTAAACGGTAAAAAAATAAAAAATAAAACTTTGAGTATGTCTTTATTTTTATTAAAAATAAATTTAAAACATTCCATTCTATTAAATTGCGTTTTTGTGGTTTAAAAAACAATAAAATAAAAAGTTTTATTATTTTAATTTAATGGTTTTTACATAAAAGTACTTGACTTTATCATTTTCAAAGACAAAGAGACGTTAAGGGGCGTTTTATAGTACAAGCAGTAAATTTAAAGTCTTTACTATAAGAAAATGTATTTGTATATAACATAGATCATCCTAGTCATATTTTGAAAATTTGAAAAATTGTTTGAATAAATTATCCGGAAAAAATCCAGAATTTGTTATCCCTTATTTTCTTTTTAATTTCGCTAAGATGTTTTTACTTTTTATTGACACTTTTCATAATTTTTCTATGATTGATGAGTGAAAAAAATATATTACAAAAATACATAGCTCAACTTGCATGTATTGAAAATGAATTTCCGGAAAAACTAATCGTTGAAAAAAATGTCCGGAATTCCGGAAATATCCGGAAAAAGATAATCCCTGATATAAATCTACTTCAGTATAAATAGATCATCAATTACCTAATAGTTTTGCTTATCTTTATAGCATATAGCATTTTCAGAAAAAAAAGAAGAAGAATGAATGTAAATATTGCAGCTAAATTATGTCATTTATTTTATATATGTCAATCAATATATTATCAATCCTTACTTATTTGGTATTAAAAAATCAAAAATGATTGTACATTTAAATGTGTAAACTAGCAACATAAAAAGACTTTATGAGTTTTTTTTAAGAAAATAAATACTTAGAAACTCTATATAGTAAAAATAGAGTTATATCATTAAAAAAAAAAAAAAAAAAAAATCACCACGAAATCCTTTGTCATGTTATTTGGAGAAATTACAAGAACAACTTCATTAAAAGTCTGGAACCAATCAAATCTAAAAGTTCATTTTACTTTTTTTAAAAACCTTTATTTTATAATGATAGAAAGAACAATTAAAAACAATATATTGAAGGGTAAAACAATCTTTGACAAATCTAAACTTGTAAACAATAATTAAAGATATATTAAAAATTATTGAAAAGTATCAAAATTCTTTTAAAAAATCATTATTTTAGTATTATGTTTTAACACATGTTTTGTGCACACTAAAACATTGCTGTAAACAATAAAATAAAACCTTGGTTTATCATCACCATCATCATTGGAAGCTAAAACAAACAAAAAATACATACAAAATGTAAAAAAAAACAAACTACAAAAATTATATAAAAATGTTAAAAGGTATAAACAAAAATTAAAAAATATATATTAAAAGGTAAACCATTAGATAATTTATTTTGTTGAACAGAGAAATCTAAACAAAAAAAAAACAAAAAAATAAATAATTTTTACATAATATTAAATAAAATAGGCTAAAATAAATCTTGACAACAACTTTAAAATACCTTCAATAGTTAGATATTTCTCTATATTTACTTTTAATGGTCCTAGATAACATTTTGCTAACATCGATTCAATATTAACCCATCTATGAACCTAAATTAAAATCAAAAAAGTTTTTTCATAGAGTGTAAATTATTTTTTTAAATATTTATTTATTAAATAAATTATTTCATAGAATTTCAAAACCATTTTGTATATAATTGAAATTTCCAAGACTTTTTGAAGCTTTACATTTAATTAAAATTTAAAGATCAAACTATATTTTTATGATATAATGTAGACTAGAATGAATAACTAGATTTTTATAACATAATGTAGTTAGAAATCTTAAGTTTTTTTTTTCTTCTAAAATTTGAAGGAATTAGTTTGAATCAGAACTGAATGAAATTTTTTTTTTAATTTCACTTAAAGGTTTTTTAATTTAATCATATATAAATTAGTAGAAAATCCTTTATCAAATTTTTTCTATTTTACACAGTGTTTTATCAATAAACACTTAAATTTAAAAAATTATTGATGTAACACTGTGTAAAATAAAAAAAAATTATAAGTGTTAATAACTGATACTAATTTAATATTATTCTGTTCTTTTAAGAATATTGAGGACTCTATTTTGTGTATTTGAAAAAATTTCAAAAAGAAAAAAAAAAAAAGATAATGAAATGTAAAATCAAAAAATTATTTCATTAAAAGAAAATTATTTTAAAAGTATAAGGTTTAAAAAAAACTAAAGTAAAAAAAAAAATTAAAAAAAAATTTAAAAAACAAAATACAGTACAAGTAAAATGAAAAAGTGATAATAAAAAAGATTTCTCTACCAGGAAAAAATATTAATATTGAAACAAAGGAAAAAAAAAAGTTTTTTAATTTTTATTAATTTAATACATTTTTTATACTGTCATGCATTTTTGTGCATGAATAATGCTAAATATACTTCTTTTTTTACATTTTTCTTTGTTGATTAAGTTTGCGGTTTTGTTCATATGTTTTTGTTATTTGTATTGTTTCTGCTCTTTATATGTTGTTGTTCAATGCTATTTAATTAATTTATTTAACATTTAGTACAGGTAAAATAAATAATTTACTTTACAAATGATATATTTGTCTGGTGCAACTTCTAGTAGTTTATAATTTTTGATTTTTCTAATAATTTCATATTAGTACATTTGACATATTAAAATTATATTATTAAATAGGCAAAACCAGCAAAATCGGGGATCTCATTATTAATGCTGGATAAATTTGATTTAATTTAATAAACAATTAGCTTCATCAAATATTTTGTTGAAAAATGAATTTTTTTTTTTAATTAAAATCTTTCAATTTAGATATACAGCTTCCAACAAGATTGAAAGTTCTTAACAATTTATAACAATGTCGATCTGAACCAATATAACACATATAACAATGTCAAATTGCACCAATAACAAATATTTTTGCTTGTCCATTTAAAAGATCACAAAATAACATGATTGAAGATTTGCAACTTCTTGAAAATCAGGATGTAAGAAAGTTGATTATTGGTTCAGAGGATATGTAGTAAAAATTATTGGTTCAGAGGATATCTAGTAAAAATTATTGGTTCAGAGGGTATGTAGTAAAAATTATTGGTTCAGAGGGTATGTAGTAAAAATTCTTTTAATCAACTACATCTCAATCTTTTAATTTATTCTTTTTTTCCATTAATTATAAAATTGAAAACTAAAAACTCCTTTTCAGAAAATTAGACAAAGGAAAGTATTAGAAAAAGGTTTTCTTAATTTCCACCAAATGAATAAACTTAAGTAGTAATAGCAGTAGGAATATGCTTTCATACAACATCAATACTGGAACAAATAAAAGATTTGTTTTTTGAATAACTAAAGAGTCATTTCTAAATAACATTTAGGCATTTTACAACTGAATTAAGAATGATTAGCCTTTGAAAAGTAGTGACCAATGTGAAAACTAATGGCCTCGAATAACCCTTCATTCAAAATGCTGAAAAATAATTTTAAAGAACCTATTTTAAATTATAATTTAGTTTAAGTGTTAGGGTTTGATTGGAAAAAAAAAGAAGCTAAATACAGTTTTTTAAAGAAGGAAGCCACTAATATTTTGATTACATTGGATATGGAGGTATTATAAAAATTATTACGTAAACCTTAAACTTCTTTCCAATCAACTTACATTTCTAAACGTTTTTGGTGTTTGGATTTAAAATTGATACTTCTAGCTTTGTTAGATGATAAGTTGAAATGAGAGGAAAATGCAAAAATTTCATCAGCAACTTGTTTGATATACATCTAACTATTTTTAGCCTGAGAACATTGTAAAACGAGATACCAGGGAAATTTATGAAATAAATATAAATATTGGGAAAAACCACCTTTGTCACTCTTTGTTAATGTCTTTTCATACCTGATTTTTGACATAATTAGGAATGAGAATCAATAAGCATATTATTATGTTGCATGAGAATCAATGAGCATATTATTATGTTGCATGAGAATCAATTAACATATTATTATGTTACATGAGAATCAATGAGCAAATTATTATGTTGCATAAGAATCAACAAGCATATTATTATGTTGCATGAGAATCAATGAACACATTATTATGTTGCATGAGAATCAATGAACATATTATAATGCTGCATGGGAATCAAGGAACATATTATTATGTTGCATGAGAATCAACAGGCATATTATTATGTTGCATGAGAATCAATGAGCAAATTATTATGTTGCATAAGAATCAACAAGCATTTTATTATGTTGCATGAGAATCAATGAACATATTATGTTGCATGAGAATCAATGAGCAAATTATTATGTTGCATGAGAATCAATGAACATATTATTATGTTGCATGAGAATCAACAGGCATATTATTATGTTGCATGAGAATCAATGAGCAAATTATTATGTTGCATGAGAATCAATGAGCAAATTATTATGTTGCATGAGAATCAATGAACATATTATTATGTTGCATGAGAATCAATGAGCATATTATTATGTTGCATGAGAATCAATGAGCATATTATTATGTTGCATGAGAATCAATTAACATATTATTATGTTGCTTGAGAATCAATGAGCAAATTATTATGTTGCATAAGAATCAACAAGCATATTATTATGTTGCATGAGAATCAATAAGCAAATTATTATGTTGCATGAGAATCAATGAACATATTATAATGCTGCATGAGAATCAATGAACATATTATTATGTTGCATGAGAATCAACAGGCATATTATTATGTTGCATGAGAATCAATGAGCAAATTATTATGTTGCATGAGAATCAATGAACATATTATTATGTTGCATGAGAATCAACAGGCATATTATTATGTTGCATGAGAATCAACAAGCAAATTATTATGTTGCATAAGAATCAATGAGCAAATTATTATGTTGCATGAGAATCAATGAGCAAATTATTATGTTGCATGAGAATCAATGAACATATTATTATGTTGCATGAGAATAAATGAACATATTATTATGCTGCATGAGAATCAATGAACATATTATTATGTTGCATGAGAATCAATGAACATTTTATTATGTTGCATGAGAATCAACAGGCATATTATTATGTTGCATGAGAATCAATGAGCAAATTATTATGTTGCATGAGAATCAATGAACATATTATTATGTTGCATGAGAATCAACAGGCATATTATTATGTTGCATGAGAATCAATGAGCAAATTATTATGTTGCATGAGAAGCAATGAGCAAATTATTATGTTGCATGAGAATCAATGAACATATTATTATGTTGCATGAGAATCAATGAGCATATTATTATGTTGCATGAGAATCAATGAGCAAATTATTATGTTGCATGAGAATCAATGAGCATATTATTATGTTGCATGAGAATCAATGAGCAAATTATTGTTGCATAAGAATCAACAAGCATTTTATTATGTTGCATGAGAATCAATGAGCAAATTATTATGTTGCATGAGAATCAATGAGCAAATTATTATGTTGCATGAGAATCAATGAACATATTATTATGTTGCATGAGAATCAATGAGCATATTATTATGTTGCATGAGAATCAATGAGCATATTATTATGTTGCATGAGAATCAATGACCATATTATTATGTTGCATGAGAATCAACAGGCATATTATTATGTTGCATGAGAATCAATGAACATATTATTATGTTGCATGAGAATCAATGAACATATTATTATGTTGCATGAGAATCAATGAGCATATTATTATGTTGCATGAGAATCAATGAGCAAATTATTATGTTGCATAAGAATCAACAAGCATTTTATTATGTTGCATGAGAATCAATGAACATATTATGTTGCATGAGAATCAATGAGCAAATTATTATGTTGCATGAGAATCAATGAACATATTATTATGTTGCATGAGAATCAACAGGCATATTATTATGTTGCATAAGAATCAATGAGCAAATTATTATGTTGCATGAGAATCAATGAGCAAATTATCATGTTGCATGAGAATCAATTAGCAAATTATTATGTTGCATGAGAATCAATGAGCAAATTATTATGTTGCATGAGAATCAATGAGCAAATTATTATGTTGCATGAGAATCAATTAGCAAATTATTATGTTGCATGAGAATCAATGAACATAGTATTATGTTGCATGAGAATCAATGAACATAAAATTATGTTGCATGAGAATCAACAGGCATATTATTATGTTGCATGAGAATCAATGAGCAAATTATTATGTTGATCAAGAGTTTAAAGTTTATCATTTTTATATTAAACTGTTTGATTAAAAAAAAAAAAACAATAGAAATAATAATAGAAAGCAATAAAATAAATAACTCATTATTTATTGGAAACACTTAAATAAGCAACTCAAAATATTTGCGCCTGAATTTTTGTATAATTAATTTTTCACTAAAATAATTCATCTTTATAGTGATATTAAATAACTTGAATCATTTCATCTCTGATACTTAAATCTGACTTATTTTACCTTAAAGTTGATTAATAATGCAAAATTAAAAAGACTTTTCAAAACTTTAGCATGCTACTGTTTCATACCTACAGACAGTGCTAAATTTTGTTAACTTCGTGTACTTAGACATTTTATTGTTAAATAAAAAAGCAGAAAAAATCTTACTTTATGATTGTTAAATAAAAAAGCAGAAAAAATCTTACTTTATGATTGTTAAATAAAAAAGCAGAAAAAAAAAAAAGCTTTTATCTTGGTTAAATCATTAAACTAAAAGTTTGTAAATTAGAAAAATGTTTTCATTTTCTGCCATTACAATCATGCCACTTTTTGCTATTACAATCATGCCACTTTCTGCCATTACAATCATGCCACTTTCTCAACAAAAATTGCCGAGCCTTTTATGGTTAAATTAAAAAGTGAAAAAAACCTGATCAAATATTGTAGTAGCATCTATCCCTGCACTCTTCATTAACTCTTCTATACCTCCAGGATGAAACTCCAAATATGGAGTGATGTTGTAAACTTTTCCTAAAGGAATTTTCAAAAGAATTAAAGCAATTAAACACACCTACACACATATACACACACAAATATTAAAGATGTGATAGGTACTACCACATCTTTACAACTTAGACCTTCTTACTCTGTATTCCTTTTTTTTTTTTTTTAAATACCTGTAATATTTTAAATAACTTTATTTATGCTGCATTTAAATTTTTAACTTAGATTATTTTTTATCTTTTGCAAGCCACAAAATACATATTTTAAATTCTTTTTTATCAAACTTAAAAAAATTTAAATAGTTTTTTTTTTTTATGTTTTGAACAAATACTTAATTACATTTGGACTACTATTTAAATAAATTAAAAAAAAACACACTAATTTTTGGTTTATTTTAAATGCAATGGAATTTATTTTATTCTTTCATCATTTTTATAAAAATTTTGTTTAAAAAAACAACTTGTCTCAAAAATATGTTGTGTAAAAGTTCTTTGAAATAACCACCCCCATAAATGCAAGTGCAAAAAAATGTGTGTTGTGAAAGATCTTTTATTAATCACTCATTGTGTGCAAGTGCAAAAAAATATTTTTTTGAAAGCTCTTTGATATAATTACTCCAAATGTGCAAGTGAAAAAAAAAAGTGGTATGAAAGCTCTTTGATATAATCACTCCTCATGTGCAAACTATAGCTTTCTTTATTTAGTTATAAAAAAAGCGATCCTTAAAGTTCATTATGATTTCAGTTTCTATGTTCAGTAAAACATTTGTGGTTAAAGCACAAAGACTTTGAGCTAAATGCTATAAAAGAAAATTGTTATTAATTAATTGTTTACTGTGCTGAAGTCTCTTTTATCTTTTTTCTATAACATTAATCACACTTTAGAAAAATAAGCTTACTAAATTTTTTACCAATGACTGATATGTTAACAAAAATATTATTGAGATAGAGGTGACTTTTAAATCTGCTGTACAACTGTAATACATTGGTAGATCTGCGGCCTTACAATCCCTGCTAGAGTTTGTGCTATTTTTTTAAAAAGAAATGGTTATCCACAGGGGTTTGAAAATGTAAGTATTTATAATCCTTAAAATGTGTTACAATTTATTTAATTTTTTCAGTGATATACTTATAAATTGTTGGTATGTTATAAATATTTTCTTAGTCACATAAAACACTAAGCATATAATTTTGTCTAAAAAGCTATACGAGCCCAAGCAAATAATTTGAATATTAGAGAGAGATCTGCTAAAGATGGTAGCAAATCTTTAACATGCCCAAACAAATAATTTGAATATTAGAGAGAGATCTTCTAAAGATGGTAGCAAATCTTTAACATGCCCAAACAAATAATTTGAATATTAGAGAGAGATCTTCTAAAGATGGTAGCAAATCTTTAACACTTCACAAAGACTAAACATAAAGATTTTAATTTATTAACTCTACACCTTTTCAAGATGTAATTGAGAAAACAAAAATTGTAATTAAGAATCGTAAGATGTAATTGAGAAAACAAAAGTTGTAATTAAGAAACGTAAGATGTAATTGAGAAAACGTAAGTTGTAATTAAGAAACATAAGATGTAATTTAGAAAACGAAAATTGTAATTAAGAATTGTAACATGTAATTGAGAAAATGTAAGTTGTAATTAAGAAATAGAAATATGTAATTGAGAACACAAAAATTTTAATTTAGATATCGCTTTAAAGGAGTAAGTGTAAAATGGCGCTTAAAAAAAATGGCGCGTAAAAAAATGGAGCGTATAAAATGACGCACTTAAAAATGACGCAAGATTTGTAGCGTAAATTTAATTTTTTAGGGAAAAATTTAGGGAAATAATTTTTGGGCAAATGAATTTAACATAATAAACACTAATAACATTTTAGGGAAAAATTTATAATTCAATTAAAAATTATAATTAAAAATTATATAATTAAAAATCACTTCATTGATCATTTAAGCACCAACTTGTACATCTTCCATATTTAAAATAGTTGCATAGTGCGTGGTTGTGTGTTGTACCGCACGTGCACAATCTCCTCCCATTATAGTATTTTTCGCCTCAATTACAATTCGTTCTAAGTACTGCATGCGCTGTTCCGCAATCCCGTCACCTAATACAGGTGGAATGCGAATTGCATTTTTAACGTTACTTTTAATTTTGGACCAGATTGTTTCCACCGGGTTCAACATTGGACTGTAAGGTCCCAAACATAACAACTGAGCTGGTGAATTATCAAACACCCTTTGCAAACGAGCGTGACAAGGAGCATTATCTGTTACGACGACCAAATCCTCCAAACGATTCCCGGATGTAACCCACTGGTGAAACATAGCCAACATCCACTCGTTACAAGAATCTGCTTTAAATGATCCCCTGCGAGTTTCTATCATGACGACATTTGTAGTTGAAATAGCTGCGATCAAGTGTATGTTTAAACCTTTTGAAGCAGTACTTTCATAATTGCTCTTTTTCCTTGTCTCGCGCGTCCTTGCGTTTTTCTACAAAAAAGGTTAAAATTTGTTTCATCCAACCAAACTATCTGACGATCATTTGTGATATGTTCGTTGATGTTTCTAACATATTCAGCTCTTTTTTGTTTGTTTTCATAACTGTTTATTGTAGAAGGCTCCTTGTGCACTTTTTTTAATGAGAACAATCTGCCTTCGAGGTAATTTGCTATTGTTGTTGTGCTAACGTTTATGTTAAATTGTCTTAATATCTTTGTTTTGATGGCCACCAATGTTAATTGACAATCATTTTCAATCCATGTTAATGTTTCTTCGATTTGATCTTCGGTCAACTTTTTCGGTTTAAAACCTACTTTTCCGATGAAAATTGAATTACCGCTGCAAACCCAATTGTATGCTGTCTTATATTTGATACCTAGCGTTTGCGCGAGATTCACCCAATTTTCAAATCGCTCCGCACATTCAACAACTCTTCTCCTGTCATTTGGAGAAGATAAAACGTAACGTTTTCTTTCAACTTGTTCAGTTGTGTGTATTTCATGCCGACAAATCGGTCAACTTGAATCTGGTTGTTCCAGAACTGGACGTAAACAAATTTGGTGACATAAATGTTGACACCGATTTAGCTTAATCACAGACATTCGGGTCATAGTGTATTGGCATATAACACAACGATCTTTCAATTCCATTATTATTACTTGTGCATACAAAAGCAAAATTTAAGATTATAACTTATATTCATGTCCAAAAAGACCTTTTGTAACAACCTACAAACTTAGACTGTGAATTTGCTATTTTAATTTATGTGTTCTCAATTACAAGTTACGATTTCTCAATTACATATTATGATTTCTCAATTATATCTTACGTTTTCTCAATTACATGTTGTGTTTCTTAATTACATGTTACGACTTCTTATTTACATGTTGTGTTTCTCAATTACATATAACGTTTTCTCAATTACATGTTGTGTTTCTTAATTACATATTACGACTTCTTAATTACAACTTTCATGTTCTCATTTACATCTTGAAAAGGTGTAGAAAGATCAAATTTTTATTAACTCCAGAAAGATCAAATTTTTATTAACTCCAGAAAGATCAAATTTTTATTAACTTCAGAAAGATCAAATTTTTATTAACTCCAGAAAGATCAAATTTTTATTAACTCCAGAAAAATCAAATTTTTATTAACTCCAGAAAGATCAAATTTTTTCTCCGTCCATATGGAAGCTTCACTAGAATATTTAAATAAATGCTCAGTATTGTTCCTAAATCTAACACCAAAAAACACAAGGCATTTAACTTTTGAATATGCAGAGAAAAACTGTACAAAGTGTCTGCCAAAACGGAACGAATGGATGCCTACAGTGCCTAATTCCTTCTCATCATTGATGAAATGTCATCTTAACATGTCAATACCGAAAGTTATTAGTCTTGCTCAAATGACTACTTTTAATATAATATTTGTAGTTGATTTTCAACTACAAATATTATATTAAGGGAGGGGGGATGGTCAGTTCCTTAGCAACTTATATAGTCACTGTTTATTTTATAAAAAAGTTTCTTTAAATTAATTTTTTTTTTTGCTGATTTCTTTGTCAGTTTTTTATAACTTAATATGATGATTTTTTTCTTCACTCTATTCACTTTCCCAAGGCTGAGGGGGTCACTAGAGCTAAGAAGACTCACAATTTTTACTCTTTTTTTTTTAATCGCTGTTACAACCCATTCTTGACTCTTTAATAAAACCTTAACGAACAATGTCACAACACAGAAAAACAAGTTAAGCACAGTACTACTAGAACCATGGTGGTAATGGAAATTGGAACTTCCTTCTTGGGGACTGAACACTGAAAATGTAGAACTTTTTTCTTACAAAGTGAGTGCTCTCCCACTACAGCACTACAGCATTCTTGAATTTTTTTTGAATTAAATAAACAGAAATTAATTAATAAACAATTAAAAAACTTATAAGCTAATATCATTAAGTATGGTATAAAAAAAAAAAAATCTTTTAATAAATATTATCTAAAATCAGATTATTATCTATCAGGTAACTATGAAGTAAATATGAGCAAAAGTTGTTAAAAAACCTATAGGAGGTTATGAAGTGGATTTTAAAATATGTTTATAAGAATTAATAGTCACCATTTTTTGCCTAATGTAATGCTTACATTCTATACAGATGTAATGCTTACATTGTATACAGATGTAATGCTTACATTGTATACAGATGTAATGCTTACATTGTATACATATGTAATGCTTACATTGTATACAGATGTAATGCTAACAATGTATACAGATGTAATGCTTACATTGTATACAGATGTAATGCTAACATTGTATACAGATGTAATGCTTACATTGTATACAGATGTAATGCTTACATTGTAAACAGATGTAATGCTAACAATGTATACCTATGTAATGCTTACATTGCAAGATTAGGATGATGTGACAATGGTTGAAGGTTGGCTGCAAGAGCATGTCCAACTATGTTTACAATGCCTTTTTGCACCTTGTCTAAAAGAGAAAGGGCATCATTCGGAGA